GTGGCACAGAGTGGGACTTTGCAAATGTAGCAAAATGCAAAAGACCCTGAAAAAATCAACCTTCCACGATAATTAGATCAAGCGCAAGAACAGTCTAAAGTTGAGAAATTTTCATTTTTTAGAAGATTTTAATACCGGAAGTGGACGTCAGACCTCACAAATGAAAGTATCAGCAGATAGCCAAGGTCAATTACCTTTGATCTTGTAAAGGAGAAGGCCTAAAATGGTCAAGATCAAGAGATATACGCCATTAAAATTTCAAATTGCTAACGACTATAAAACCAGAAGTTGACTTAGGACAGCAAATATAAAAGTATAAATAGATAGCCAATGCCAATGACGTTTGATCCTACAAAGGTCAAGGTCAACAAAGGTCAAGGTCAAAAATTGAAAATTTTGCATTTCCAAAACCTGTTCCTTTTTTTGAACTATGAAGCAGAAACAACCAAAATTCTAAGACAAAGTGGCTCAAAATATGAGGTAATTGTGTAAAAAGTTCCATTTTTGAACAAATGTATACTTTGCAAGTTATGCCCCTGGCCAAAAATGTCAATAATGAGTAATTTAACCCTGAAGTGCCATGCCCAACTCAATTTTTTTTGAATAAGTTAATCAATATTCAAAATGTTACGTTATGTTCCAAATGTCAAGTTCCTACATAATAGAGGTCAAAAGATATAGGTCAACAAAAGTTAACAAAGGTCAAAATCGAAAAATGAAAATATCCAAATGTTAAAACCCGTTCCTTTTTTGAACTATAAAGCTGAAACAACTGAGCTGTTAATACATACTGGCCAAAAGGATGAGGTAATTGTGTGCAAAGTCTCTTTTTGAACAAACGCATCCTATGCGAGTTATGCCCCAGCCCCAAAATGTAAACAATTAGTAATTCAACGCGGTGTGCCACGCCCACATAAGTTTTTTTTGTCATAGGTGAATTCATATTCAAAGTGTCTAGTTGTATTCCAAATATCAAGGTTCTACATCAAATAGATCATAACATATACATACACTAAGCTCAAAAAGTCGCAAATATTGTAAAAATAAAAAAACTCAAATTTGAAAAAATCATGAATTTCAATTTTGCTTTAAAAAAACGATTGTTATATATCTATGTAAAGTACACGAGAAGCACATTAGGAAACCGAAAAAATTTACTCTCTAGGTTAATTAGGTCACGTGTTAGAGCAGTCCAAAGTTGCTTTTTACGAATAGCTATAAAACCGGAAGTACATGTCTGGGGTCAAAGGTCAAAGTATCAAATGATAGCCAAGGTCAATGACCTTTGACCCTATAAAGGTCAAAGTCATCAAAGGTCAAGGTCACGAGATACAAGCCTTCAAAAATTGAAAAAATTCGACCGGAAGTTGCAAAAAAGCAAAAGTCAAATTCAAAAATCCATTTCCAACATTTTTGTCGCCATCGACTAAAGTATACACCAACATAAAAATTTGACCAATCCCATTCTCCCCCGAAGCCCCATTTGAGTTTTAGAAAAAGTATCAAATCAAGAT